CGAGACTCTGTGACCGAGGAAATCGATGGCCGAGGTTCCAAAGACGCACTTAGCAGGATGAACTTTCATGTTGTTGTTCTGCAGGCGTTGGAGAAGGAGTTGTAGGTGGTGGCGGTGCTCGGCAGGCGTCGAAGATGCGACGAGGATGTCGTCATGAAAGTGTACTCGATGAGTCCGAATGGAGTGGTGATGGCTGTCTTCTGGGTATCTGCCGGTGCTACTGGGATCTGGTGGAAGGCACGCTCCAAGTCGATCTTCGAGAAGATAGTCTTGCTATGAAGTTTGTGGTGAAAGTCCTGGACATGCGGAATAGGGTACCTGTCAGGTTTGGTGACGAGATTCAGGGCTCTGTAGTCGCCACACACCCTCCACTCGCCGGGTGTTTGCTTAGGAACCATGTGAAGAGGCGATGCCCAGGGACTCCTTGAAGGGCGAATGATGCCGTCTTGCAGTAGTTTGTTGAATTCTACTTTGGCTGTGTTCAGGAGCTCAGGGCGCAGGCGGCGAGGGCGTGAAAAGACTGGTGGTCCTTTGGTTTCGATGTGGTGGAAAATTCCCGATGTAGTTGGTGGGGGTAGGGAGACTCGGGGTGAGAAAAGCTCCTTGAATTCGTCGAGCAGGGAGGAGAACTCGTTCGAAGGCGCAAGACAGGTGATAGTGTCTGTGTGTCTGGCACGAGAACCCTGGATCTTGCGTGTTGTAGGCTCATGGATGAGGCATAGATGACTTGGTTTGACGCCGAGCTTGTGGAAGGTGAGGAAGTCGAAACCATGGATGGGTTGAGACACGTCTGCTATCACGAATATCCAACGCAGAGTCTTGGGCAGACCGAGGTCTAAGGCGAGGGTGCGTACGCCGTAGGAGGCGATGGAGGTACCGTTGGCAGCGAACAGGTCATACGAGGGTTGCTTTGACTTGTCTTGTAGTGAGGGAGGGATGAGGCTGACCGATGAACCTGTGTCGATGAGGAACTTCTTGCCGGAGGTGCGGTCGGTGACGCGCAGTAATGAGACGCCTGAAGGGACGGAGGCTGAGGCGTCTACCGGCCTCCGGTGTTGCCGTTTCCCGAATAGGTGCAATAGGGCTCACAGTTTCGAGCATTGCGGCCGAAAGTCTGGTGATACCAGCAGAGGGTATATTTGTTGTGCTGGGGGCTGGCTGCTGTGCGTCGGAACTTGTAGGGCGTGGTGTGTGAGTCAGGAACTGGCGCAGCAGCGGGTATGGAGGAGCAGAACTGCTCAATGGTGTCCATCCTGCGGTTCAAAGTTTGCAACAGGTCCTTGATGTCTTGTGAGGTATTGCTCGGCTGAGGGGTGTTGACCCGGCTTACAAGTTTGGTGGTAGGTACTGGTGTGACCGTGGTGGCAAGGGGTGCAGCAGCGCACTCGTTGAAAATTCTATCTGCCGCGGTTGCATATAGTTCTGGTGTCGTAGAGTAATCTACTGCGGACAGGATGTTGCGTACTTCTGTGGGTAGCTTTTGTGCGTGAAGCTGGCGCAGGATAGAGTCGGGGAGTCTGTCTGTGTGACAGGAGTTCAGCCTACACATCCCCTCCCAGAGACGTCCCGGGGTTGAGTTCCCGAGGGAGATAGAGGGTAGATCTTGCAGGAGATTGGGGCTGGTCTGTTGATAATGCATCTTCAAGGCCTCCCGCAGGGTAGCGAATTTGTTGTCATCTGGAGGGTTGGAAATGGTCTGTGAGACCCGCGTGGCGACTTCTGTGGGCAAGGCACAGAGCAGCGCGCCATACTTTTGCTCGTCAGTCGCTTGTGAGCCGACGAGGGCTGCTTCCACATGATCTAGCCAGTCCTCGACGTTGTGGTTGAAAGTCGGCAGAGAGATCCGTCCGTCCTCCATCCTGTGTGAGTGCTTTTTTCCGGGGGTCACCATTTGTAGGGTTTCGTGATATTATGTTGTCTAGCACTCAGGATGGATGGAAACTCTAAGGTGGTGGTTTTCTTATATAATATAAGTTATATGGTAGACAGTCTGGTGCTGGAGATGCCGTGTGGTGAGGAGCTGCTCAGTAGACACGTTCGGTGAGTAGCGTGTTGAAGGAGGTAGATGTGCAGGAGCTTCGTTAGAGAAGATGTTGCCTGTTGCTGGCCTCCAGGTTGAATGAGAGCGGGACAGCGAGGAGCTTGCTTGGAGGAGGTGTTGCGTGTTCAGGAACCGAGAGCAGAATGAATCTCAATGGAGAGACAGAGCTTATATACACAGCCGCCGGAAGTAAACCGTGGGAAGTCGCCGGTTTCTCGACCCGTTGCTAGGATACGGTAGCAGCTGGTGGCTGGTTGCTAGGATACTGTGGCATCTGGTGACGCCCCCCCCCCCCTGGGCCGCTCGTTTGGTTGCTAGGGAAGACGTAGCAGGTGGCTGGTTGCTAGGATACTGTGGCATTGGAATGCTGCTACGCAGTTGTAGGGGAGACGTCCACTACAGCGGCATCTCTGATAATACTCTCAAGCACTTTACATATTATGCTGGTCAGGCTCACCGGTCTATAGTTGTTCGTGGAGTGCCGATCGCCCTTCTTGAAGATAGGACTCACATAAGCCCTTTCCATTCACTGGGGACCATTTGTTCATCCAGGCATTTACAAAACAGGATCTCCAGGGGCTCTGCAAGCTCGTTGCACAACTCTCTTAGCATTCTATGATGCACCATGTCCGGGCCGGGAGTCTTATGGACCTTTAGCCTTGTATGTATATTATGTATGCTGTATGTATATTATGTATGTATATTATGTATGTGCTCCATTTATATACATTATTTATTCAGCCTAGCTAGCAGCGTGTGGCAATGTATTTACCATGTCCCACACGCTTAATTAATGTGCCTGGCGACATATGGAAGCTGCTAATGTATCACTTGCCACATGTCGCCTAAAAGGCTAGTTGACCCCCAGACAGAGTAAGGAGCGCCACCTCCCTTGTGTATCTCTGTTTATCCAGTAAATAGAACCTACGAAAACTCTACAGGTGTTTGTGTTCGCTCCTGTAGATAGAACTTGATGTCCAGAACACATACAAGCCTGGACAGTTTATTTCTAATACCCTCTTCTGTGAAGACAATGTGGGTCAGTGCTGTCTCGAACCGTCTGCAAACGCAGGAAGGTTAGTTGCATTCTCTCTTGTGAACGCCGAGGAAAAGAAGCTGTTCAATGCCTCAGCTTTATTATCCTGGTCAGAATCTGCATAACTACCATCTTCAAGCCTCAGGTCTGATACTCCTACTCGCGTTTTCAATTTCGACTTTGCATAGCGGTAAAACGCCTTTGGGTTTGACTTGACCTCGCTTGCAACCAGCCTTTGGAACTCCTTTTCAGCCCTCCTACACTCTATCTTTGCTTGGTTTCTGGCTCTTGCATACATCCTCCTGTCTTGCTCATCGTTTGACCCAACCTAAGTCTTGAATTTCTGGGTTTTCTTCTTAATTTTGTCGACCGCCGCATGGTTCATGTGTAGGGATCCCCTCGTATTCTTAGAAGCACTGGGTTTGGTCTTGGGTATATATTTATCGATCGAATGGGTCACTTTACTAGTTATGATAATCAGCGTAGTGTCTGCGTTCTTCAGGGCCGGCGCTACCCACAAGGCGAACTAGGCGATCGCCTAGGGCGCCAACATCTGGGGGCGCCACAAATTCAGGGCAAACTTGGATAAAATTAAAAATGAAGGGAAAACTGTGATGGACACTGTGGTGGAGCCGTGGAGGGTCGGAGCAGGATGTTAGAAGGGGGTGGGGGGGTCGGAGGGAGGCGAGGGTAGGTAGATGGTAGCCGACTGTGTTTTCTTTTTTAATATTATTCGTTAACCCCCCGGAGGAACTAACCCGGGTCCTTATCTTTGGCGGCCTGGAGAACTGTCGAGCAGTGACCTGAAGGCTGACATCTGAGGAACCCTTCTCCCAACCCCACCATCCCCTCCCCTCCCTTACTGCCAGGGCGGCTGAGTCGCCCCTTCCCTGCCTTTGTCGGGATGAGGCAAGGTTACCTGACCTCTGAAGTTTACGTCAAGAATTTATTGACTTAATGTAATAACAATAATTGGTTATTTGCATGGGTGAAGTAATAAAGCCACAAGATGAAAACAATGTAGTAATGGGTTACTGTACCTACATTAGCTTATCAAAACTTTCAAGGGGGCGCACATCTAAAGGCTTGCCTAGGGCGCCAAATCATCTTGCACCGGCCCTGGCGTTCTTGTACCTTAATGAGTCTGTTTGAGTCTGTGTTTTACAGCAATGGCCATGCCATCATTTCTTTTTTTCTTCTTGTATTCTCTTCACCAAAAGAGTGGCTCGTTAGCCGCTTGGGCGATCGGTCACGTCTCTGTTACCCACTATTGGCAAGTACTGGGCAAGCACCGGCTCCTGAATGTACCTGACCCCGCTCCAGGGTAGGAAGTATATCCAAATATTTTTATTTCTTGGAATTTGAATTACCTCACAGTTTTCTGGACTTGCGGCTTCTTCAATCTTGAGCTGTGACCCCTTGTGGGGCGAGCGTCCGCCAGCTCCAAGTAAGGACACTCAACTGAGTAGTGCCCCCTGAGATGCTTATGCACATCAACTAGGTCCCCCCTTGCCCGTCTGTAGTATAAGCTAGGCAAGTTCAGGCGCTCCAATCTCTCAGGGTAGCTGAGGTGCCGAAGTGCAGGCACCAGTCTGGTGGCCCTCCTTTAAACATTTTCAACCACTAACAGTCCCAAGCATATCTCGGGGACCAGACGGGGTGACAGTACTCCAGATGGGGAAGCACTTCACTCTTGAAGATCGTTACGAGGGACGGACCGTCTAGATATCTGAACGACCTTCTTATAAGACCCAATAATTTATTTGCATAAAAATTTATGAAAAACTAATATAATGCATAGTAATAATTAAATGAAGATTTTTTTTAGGGAAATATTATTCATTCTCGGGAAATCTTCACGTTAGTTTGGGGATTCAAGGTTTTACTTGGTGGGAGCCCTGTGTCCAACTGTCCATACCTGGAGGTGGCGGACGGTCATAGAAAACGGCGTCCTGGAGGCAGTGCTGTTGTGTTGTTTACCTGGCTGGCGGGCGTTGGAGTTACCGTTACTTCTGTTGGTACATCATCTGCCATGACTTTAGGCCAAAACTCATCAAATAGGTTTTCAGGTAGATAATCTCGTTCGTTGACATTTATTAAAGTGTTGAATAATAATAAGGAGTCGTAACGGGTAGTCTAGTCTTAAATCAAGTGTGTTGGAACTGGGTTGAAAGTTTTGGCCATAAATAAGGAGTTTGTTTGGCAAAGATTCAGTTCAGTACATAGACGGGAGTCACCTGAAAATAGTTTTCATAGTTTTTTCCTAGTGGATATTTTGCCTTGACCAGCTAAGTTCCTACTAACGCTATTTTACCGTGAGTGCGCACTGATTGACTAAGAACTTTCTATTCAATATGGGGTCTGCCCCTCAGTTAGGACGTTAGGTTAGGTTAGGTAGGTTTCTTTAGTTGGTTAGGTCTGGTTCATTGAGGTTCTAGTAAATGTCACCTCATTTAGGTCAATTTACATTATCACACCAGTCTTTATTTCGACATTAAAAGTAGGTTTTTCCTATGTATTTTGACGAGTTCAGAACGAATTTCATATTCATTTTCACCGGAAATCACATGTTTTTTTATACGCCCCCCCCCCACCCAACAATCATTATAAAAAAAAGTGATTTTTTTTAGAATAAATTATATTACCAACCAACAAAGAAAACCTAACCTAACCAGGGGGGCTCCCCATTGTTCATGCCCCCACATCCCTTAATCTGTAATTGAATCCATGAACCTTTATAATCACTAACAGAAAAGTTGTACCTTTTCCAGTTTTTACTTTTTGGCTTTAGAAAACTATTGTGACACCGCCAAATATGTTGTTTTTCACGCAGTATATACTGGTTATTACACTTTGGACAAAGTACTATGCTCGGTAATACAAGGTGTTTTCTGAAGAAAAAAAATTGCCTCCCTACTTTTCTGGTGAAACTCGGCAATTGTGGCAAAATAATCTTTCTCACAACTTCTGCACAGCTCTTCCACCGGTTCAGCCATATCTCCTACTAAAAATTCAAATCTTCCCTCCAGACCCACCAACTCATTGTTCATTGGCTAAAACAAAAAAAATCCTGCCCAATAAAAATACTCCCTTTGTTATCGCCAATTAAAAATCCTATGCTTGATAGAAGACGGAGGCCTGGAGCGATGCATGAGCAGGGGGTCAGACCACCTCTGCCGTAAGTAAACGAATCATGGCGACACTTGTGACTGAGCGAAAGTAATAATCTTGAAATATTAATATCTCAGTTATCCTTAATTTCTGGTGGAAATATCATAGAAGAAAAATGTCTTAGAATTGTGTAAACATTTCGAGATACATATTAATAACAGTGAAAGAAAGACCTGTGTAAAATTATAAATTCATCCTCTTTTATAATGATAAGAACATCTGTGGAAAAAATGAACAAAATTGAGCAAGTCCTGGAGGTACTGGAGTAGTTTTTTCCTCAGACATTTCCAGAAGGTTAGGTAATGTTTTCAAAGGCGTGTTTGGTGTTCTTTTTATTATTTTTTTACCCCACATTTTCCCTCTTACTGCCCACTTTGATCAACAAATATTGTTGGTAATTGGGGCAGTCTCATTGGTTGAACTACTCAAAAAATATAAATTTAAGCTGGAAACGTAATAGAATATATACAGTGACCCCTCCGTTAACGAACTCAATCCGTTCCAGAAGGTCGTTCGTTAACCGAAAAGTTCGTTAACCGAAACCATTGTTTCAATGGGTTTTTGGGTAATTGGTTCCAGCTCACCGAAAATTTCCTAAATTCAACAAAAATGGTAGTAAAGTTCACTTACTTTGAGGTGTGTATGTAGAAGGCTCCTGGATGATGATGATGATGGGATTTAGAATGGGGGTGGAGGAGAAGGAAGAAGAGAAGGCATTGGGGTGGAAGAGAAGTCACCCCATGGCGCCATTTCACCCATAAAATTTTAGCTCTCTTGGTGTAATTCAAGATTATTTTCTTTAAATCAACACTGCACTGCATTATATATTGTAAATATGTAAAATATATTTCAAAATGACCAATAATTTGCTCGGAAACACAGAAAAAAAGCGTTCAGTTGAAGAGAGTCTCAAGCAAGATGTTACCTCCAGTGAAAACAGAGAGAGACTAACTCCTGTTTGCTGTGTTAAGAGGCTGGATGCCGCCCATTAAACTAGACACTTTACCTTCAATTATGTTAAATAATTGTTAAAATGACTAAAAAATTGAATATTAAACTTTTAATATTATTGAATAGTACAAACTTCTTGATACTTACTAAAATAGTAAGGAATTTAAGCCCTAGAACCGATTAATGTATTGGCGGACTGATACTAAAGCTGGTTGCCCGGTCAGTGCAAGCGAAAACATGTTGAGGTCGGTTCGTAAGAACTTCGTTAACCGAATTTTTTTTCGTTAACTGAATTGAAGATCCTTATGGAAGGCAGTTCGTTAATCGAAATTACGTTAACCGAGGTGTTCGTTAAATGAGGGGTCACTGTATATGTTTTTGCTTTTTCCCTATATAAATAGAAATGCAGTAGTTTCCATGTACTATAACAGAAATATGGTTAGGTATGTTTATAGCTACACAACGATAGACTCACGACGAAATAAATGCCAAATGCCTCCAGAGTCACGGTCAAATATGGTTCTCGTGTTGTTCGCCGGTAATTGACAATTAGTCGATCAGAGCACACTTAGGGTAAAATAGCGTTAGTAGGAACTTAGCCAGTCACTGCGAATTATCCACTGCCTAGTTTTTGGGGGTAAAATTTTAGTTTTGGTCATCCCTGTATTTAGATATCCAAACTACTGTATGTGGTTGCCGACAAATCGTTCAAAACACATCAAAACAATCGGAAAAACAAGAGTTTGGATGTCTAACCTAACCTACCCTAATTCCTGAGATTCCCTAGATGACCAAAACTAAAATATTTTTTTTTTTTTTGTGAAGGTAAAGCAGACAGTAAACACCAGGAGTTGTTCAATTTTGTTAATTTTTTCACATTTTTGTATGATAAAAGGTAATAAAAATGGTATAACAATGCACAGAACCTAACTTCCTAATCGGAAGGGGGGAGGGCTCTGCCCCTAGACCCCTCGGCATATTCAGAAGAAAGGGAATTATTTCACTGTTGGACAACACGGGAATCTTAGGAATTTTATCTTTTTTTTTTCCCAATGGAGTTTCCCTTGCAAAAGACTTATACGAGGTCCGACACACACAAAAAACGAGATTGATGCTGTAACTCTTTTTATTGACCAAATTAAGGAAATCATCTGTGATCGCCTTCAAAGTACAGTACTGTAGTTCCCTTCTGAGTTGACACACAGCTGCATCCAATGCTACCACAGTTCAAAGCAATTCCGCAGATCGTGTTCTGTAAGCGTCATTTTTGCTTTCACCTCTTCTACCAACAAAAAATTTATTCCTTTGAGCACGGACTTGATCTTTGGGAAGTGGTAGAAGTCGCAGGGAGCCAGGTCTGGCGAATAGGGTGGGTGCTTAAGCACAGTGATGTTTTTATTGGCTAGAAAACGCTTCACAGACAAAGCATTGTGGGCTGGCGCATTGTCCTGGTGCAAAATCCACCCGTTTCTCCACAATTCTGGTTGTTTCCTTCTCACTCGTTCGTGCAATTTCGTCACGACTTCAATATAATACTGCTGATTTTCCGTCTGGCCGCTGGGAACCCACTCTGCCATCACAATACCCTGAATATTGAAGAAAACAATCAACATGGCCTTAAACTTTGAATGATTCATGTGTGCATTTTTTGGTCTTGGAGATGTTGGTGACTTCCACTGCATTGATTGTCGCTTGGTTTCCGGATCATACGTAAATACCCAAGTTTCATCACAAGTAATTACCGAATTCAACAAATCTGGTTCATGCTCAATGCGTTGCAAAAGGTAAAACAAATTTCCATGCGATGTTCGTTTTCTTCATCTGACAGCATTTTTGGAATAATTTTTGCACAAATCTTTGTCATGTTCAATTCTTCCGTTAGAATGCGTCGAACACTTTCCCTGTCTAAATTAACTTTCTCAGCTATTGCTCGAATACCCAACCTACGGTTTTTCTAATCACATCTCTCACTTTTTCATCATCTTTCACGGTTTCTCTGCCTTCCGAAAATCGTTTGTGCCATTCAAAAACACATGCACAAGACATGTAATCTTCACTGTAAACCTCAGTCAATAATTGAAAAGTTTCCGTCGCGGATTTCTTAAATTTAACGAGAAACTTGATGTTAACTCGTTGCTCAGTTTTGCAGTCCGACATTTTCCGACCGATCGTAAGAACACGTCTATACTTTAACAGGCGTCCACTTGTACTGAGTGAAGCGATCGACTTGCGCCTTGTCACACTGTGACAGGATAGAACATGTTCATTAACTTTCTGTTTGTCCCTCCCCTCCCACTCTTGGTTCCCGAGTTATAGGGTCAGTCTCGTTATTTTTGTGTCGAACCTCGTATATGCCGGGGTCCACCAGTTAGGAGGTTAGGATTGGTAATTTTTTGTTCATTTGTGAGGGAAATGTCATAGAAGAAAAGTTTCTTAGAATTGTCTAAAATATTTATTGCAAAGATAAAATTCCTAAGATTCCCATGTTGTCTGAAAATAAAAAATTACCAAGCGAACTTAACTTAATATTGAGGTGGATAGAAGGTAGTGTTGGCAGCCAGGAAGTGGTAGAACTTGTCTCCTTCGGGGAAGTGTGTCTTAAAGAGGGACTCCGCTAAAAAAGAATAGCTCCACATGGCTCCACAATTAATGTAAATAATGTTTATGATCAAAGATAAAGAAAAACGAAAACAAAATATTGGAAAAAAGTTGCCGTAAAATCTTTATTAGGTACTATCATCCAAAGAACTTCTGTGGTAAAAATGAATGAAATCGAATAACTCCTCCTGGTGTTAGCCATCTGCTCCACTATTGCCATTTTTCCTTATGTATTTGATGGTGATTTAAAATAATCTTCTTTATTTGTGTAGGAAATAAATAGCTATGGAAATATATGACCTACCCTCTGCTACTTACAATTTTGGTTACATAAAGTTGGCAAGGCATTGAAGTAGGAGGATATTGAGATAAGAGCACACAAAAACTGACCTAATCTAACCTTACTATTGTCTTGGCATTTTTGCATCTTTATCAAAACCAAACATACAGTATTAATCTTCACAATAAAGAAAGTGCATCACATTTTGGACCCTTTAAGGAAGTAATCTATACACAGTAGTCTGTGAAAATGTCAATAGCAGCAGCATTATTATCCAAAATATGTTGAATGGTTTCCCATTGCTACACAGAACACCCATCACACAAGGAAGACTACCAGTAAAAGTATTAGGTTTTTCGAATAAAAAATCACCCTGTATTTTATAAACTCAACTCATTCAAGTTTATCTATGGATTCACTATTTATTTTGTATAAATTTTTGTAAAGACTTCTAAAACATAATTTTGTTTTATTTTCCATTCTAACAATTTAACCATTTTTGTAATATGAAACTGCACTATGAGTAAGGCTTATTTTACAGGCGGGGACTACCTCACTGAAGACACAACCCTACGCTCATACTCCCTCTATCCCAGGAAGAAGCGGTGTTGTCATGGTGATGGTGATGGTTTCATGATCATTGCTACCTGTTTCTTTGTCCTAACAGTTGCTATTACTGTTGCCCTCATCATCCAGATTCACTATGGAAACCCAGAGGTGAGATGTAGCTAACCTAACCTAGTTGTTTGGGCTCTTTACTCTTCCATACAGATGTTTGCTGTTGATGTAATTTATTCAGGGACATTAACAATCTAAGTGACTGTGAAGCATTACTGGTTGATCTCTGTTGGCTTCAGGCTTTGACCAAAGAATTTTTGTTGAGATTCAGTATTATGACATTTAAGAGGATGTTCCTTGTTCATGCTAATGGTAAGGAAATGCATCACATTCCCCTAACAAGTTGTGAGAAAAATATGGTATTTATATTCACAAACAAGTGAAACTTTTAGATCATTGTGAGAAGAAGGGGAACCTAGATAAAAAACTTGTATAGTTACCCGGCAATAAAAAAGATCCCACACATACTTAGATGGTTCACTTGTAAGAAGGGTTTTCAAAAGTGCACTGCTACCACATGTACTGTACTGTAATGAAATTCTACCTGGTTCCTAAGGTATGTCAAGAGAGATTACAATGTTTACAATTGCTGGGCAAGGGAGGTACAGTAATATCTTCGTTGACCGGAATCCCTCAAACCCAGAATTCAATGATAGCCGGAATTGAAGTTTTCTCAGAAAATCGTTCCCAAAGCCGGCATTTTCCAGAAAATTCCGGCTTTGGGAACGATTTTCTGAAGGGCACATTTAACGGAAAATTCTGAGCAATTTTTCCCGATATCTAGAAAATTCTGTGGATGGAGGAGTTTATTCCTAGTTTGTGAGATGAGAATCGGGCACATTTTCTGGAAACTCTGAGAAAAAATTTCCGGTACCCGGAAAATTCCTGGGATGGAGGACATTTTTCCGGGTTTGAGATGTGATGTAATGGGCAATTTCTGGACTTCCGAGAAAATTTTCCTTTTACATGGAAAAATTCCGGGGATGCAGGATTTTTTCCGGCTTTGAGAGAGTCATATCATTACCCGAAAATCTCTCATTCCTGGAAGTGCTCTGCACCAGCTGTACATATCTGGAGTTAGCAAATTGACACCCCACTAGAGGTTACAGCCTCAAGTTAAAGTAACTCTCAGTATAGAAAGTTTTGGCAGCACCAAATGTGAGCTCCAGGCTTGAGTAATGCTGGAAATATATTCAGGTACACTTGCCTCATAAGTTCTCGACCACTCTTAAGGGTTATACAATACAGTACGGGGGTATGACAAAACAAACGAGAAATCTGAACATTGCTCTCTGAGGAAGTTTTATTGCAAATTAAATAACTTCTTTTCACTTTAAATATTATAAAGATGAGCAAGATATATTATTACAAAATATTAAGAGACCTCGCCACCAGGCATACCAACCATTCTGAGATGACATGAGCCATAGTGCTCCTTCTGAAATCTGTCGTGCCCAGCTGTTTCAGAAATTTTTGTGGCGAGTATACAGTACTGTGCATTCAAGAGCCAATACTGTACATGCAATATTGTACAACAGAGAGGTGATTGATGGCCTGACCATCTAATAAGCTGACAAGTGGTGAAGAGGATAGATAAATAATAAATGCCAAATGACCTATAGGTCTTCATAATGATGCCAAGTGACTTACTGTACAGTTGTTCATAATGATGCCAAGTGACTTACTGTACAGTTGTTCATAATGATGCCAAGTGACTTACTGTACAGTTGTTCATAATGATGCCAAGTGACTTACTGTACAGTTGTTCATAATGATGCCAAGTGACTTACTGTACAGTTGTTCATAATGATGCCAAGTGACTTACTGTACAGTTGTTCATAATGATGCCAAGTGACTTACTGTACAGTTGTTCATAATGATGCCAAGTGACTTACTGTACAGTTGTTCATAATGATGCCAAGTGACTTACTGTACAGTTGTTCATAATGATGCCAAGTGACTTACTGTACAGTTGTTCATAATGATGCCAAGTGACTTACTGTACAGTTGTTCATAATGATGCCAAGTGACTTACTGTACAGTTGTTCATAATGATGCCAAGAGACTTACTGTACAGTTGTTCATAATGATGCCAAGTGACTTACTGTACAGTTGTTCATAATGATGCCAAGTGACTTACTGTACAGTTGTTCATAATGATGCCAAGTGACTTACTGTACAGTTGTTCATAATGATGCCAAGTGACTTACTGTACAGTTGTTCATAATGATGCCAAGTGACTTACTGTACAGTTGTTCATAATGATGCCAAGTGACTTACTGTACAGTTGTTCATAATGATGCCAAGTGACTTACTGTACAGTTGTTCATAATGATGCCAAGTGATTCACAGTTGTTCATAATGATGCCAAGTGATTCACAGTTGTTCATAATGATGCCAAGTTCACAGTTGTTCATAATGATGCCAAGTGATTCACAGTTGTTCATAATGATGCCAAGTTCACGTTGTTCATAATGATGCCAAGTGACTTACTGTACAGTTGTTCATAATGCCAAGTGCTTCACAGTTGTTCATAATGATGCCAAGTGATTCACAGTTGTTCATAATGATGCCAAGTTCACAGTTGTTCATAATGATGCCAAGTGCTTCACAGTTGTTCATAATGATGCCAGGATTCACAGTTCATAATGATGCCAAGTTCGCTGTTGTTCATAATATGCCAAGTGATTCACAGTTGTTCATAATGATGCCAAGTTCACAGTTGTACATAATGATGCCAAGTGATTCACAGTTGTTCATAATGATGCCAAGTGATTCACAGTTGTTCATAATGATGCCAAGTGATTCACAGTTGTTCATAATGATGCCAAGTGACTTACTGTACAGTTGTTCATAATGATGCCAAGTGACTTACTGTACAGTTGTTCATAATGATGCCAAGTGACTTACTGTACAGTTGTTCATAAGATGCCAAGTGACTTACTGTACAGTTGTTCATAATGATGCCATGACTTACTGTACAGTTGTTCATAATGATGCCAAGTGACTTACTGTACAGTTGTTCATAATGATGCCAGTGACTTACTGTACAGTTGTTCATAAGATGCCATGACTTACTGTACAGTTGTTCATAATGATGCCAAGTGACTTACTGTACAGTTGTTCATAATGATGCCAAGTGACTTACTGTACAGTTGTTCATAATGATGCCATGACTTACTGTACAGTTGTTCATAATGATGCCAAGTGACTTACTGTACAGTTGTTCATAATGATGCCAAGTGACTTACTGTACAGTTGTTCATAATGATGCCAAGTGACTTACTGTACAGTTGTTCATAATGATGCCAAGTGACTTACTGTACAGTTGTTCATAATGATGCCAAGTGATTCACAGTTGTTCATAATGATGCCAAGTGATTCACAGTTGTTCATAATGATGCCAAGTTCACAGTTGTTCATAATGATGCCAAGTGATTCCAGTTGTTCATAATGATGCCAAGTTCACAGTTGTTCATAATGATGCCAAGTGATTCACAGTTGTTCATAATGATGCCAAGTTCACAGTTGTTCATAATGATGCCAAGTGACTTACTGTACAGTTGTTCATAATGACAAGTGCTTCACAGTTGTTCATAAGATGCCAGTGATTCACAGTTCATAGATAAGTTCACAGTTGTTCATAATGATGCCAAGATTCACAGTTGTTCATAAGATGCCAAGTGATTCACAGTTCATAATGATGCCAAGTTCGCTGTTGTTCATAATGATGCCAAGTGATTCACAGTTGTTCATAATGATGCCAAGTTCACAGTTGTACATAATGATGCCAAGGATTCACAGTTGTTCATAATGATGCCAAGTGATTCACAGTTGTTCATAATGATGCCAAGTGATTCACAGTTGTTCATAATGATGCCAAGTGATTCACAGTTGTTCATAATGATGCCAAGTTCACAGTTGTTCATAATGACAAGTGATTCACAGTTGTTCATAATGATGCCAAGTGATTCACAGTTGTTCATAATGATGCCAAGTGATTCACAGTTGTTCATAATGATGCCAAGTGATTCACAGTTGTTCATAATGATGCCAAGTGATTCACAGTTGTTCATAATGATGGCAAGTTCACAGTTGTTCATAATGATGCCAAGTGATTCACAGTTGTTCATAATGATGCCAAGTGCTTCACAGTTGTTCATACCTTTACTTTTTTTACTTTTATCTTCTTCACCACTGATTGGCTCGCTAGACGCTTGGGAGATCGGTCACGTCTCTGTTACGCACTGTTGGCACGCGAGATACACTCCAAGAGAGGTCACTTTATACCAAATTCGCACTAAATCGAAGTGTTGTTTCAATGGAATAATTTAGTTTGGTAGTTGAGAGAAACACAAAATACTAAAAAGACTGAGAGTCTACCCGGATGCACCTCAGCCCATCTAGAATAAACAAAATATATTTTTTTTGTAGTATTTTGTTGAAACAAACACTCATAAATCAATACAGCTAAAGTTAAGGGATACAAAATGGTCTGTTTACTGGCTGGGAAGATGGGGGGAGGGGGAGGTGAGGTGATATGTTTGACAGTTGCTGCCAAGGTCTAGTGCTTATTTATTTATCTGTCCTTATGAGTGACTTTATGTTTTTCTCTTATAAAATGTCACTCAACTAACATGGGAGAATATAATTTACATTGCTGGAATTCTTATAAGATAGTGATTAGTTTGAATATAAAAATGCCATAGCTTGCATTAGACATAACAATTTTAGTTCTAATTTAAGAATTTTATTAGAGAGAGCAAAAATATTTATCTCTTGTGCAAAATATATGACGTTTATAGTCAAATTATTCGCTGTCTTGCAAGGATTCTAGCAATACAAATTATACTCTCTTAACTTTAGTCTGCGACATTACAGTATATAAGATAAAAACTTTAAGCCTAAAACACCCAGCCCTGGCTGAGAAGATGGGGGGGGGGGAAGTGACAGTGATATGTTTGACAGTTGGTACTGAAGGTCTAGTGAAGTATTATTTTGAGTACATATACAGTACAGCTTTGCCCTTAGGACAATGTAGTGTGCCCAGAGAAACATTAGGCGCAAAATTTTAAATATGATGCACCAGATTGACTCAC